GGAAGGTCAGGATGGGAGCCCCTGGCTGGCCTGGTGGGACGGCTGGGTTGAGAAGTGGGGTGTGAGCTGGCTGCAGGGTGGAGGAGCAGGAACAGCATGGGGGAAGCTGAGGCACAGCCTGTGTGAAGGCAAGGAGGTGGGAGGCAGCCTGGGTGCACCAGGCAGAGTCCCCAGAGAGCGAAGGCGTGGGGCGAGGGTGCAGCAAGAGCCGAGGCCGGAGCAGGACAGGGCCTGGCACGCAGAGACCTTGGGTGCCGGTGTGGGCACAGGGCCACTGTGGCTGGGGCAGGCCGGGGGTTGCGGTGGACACGGGAGGAACTGGACACAGTGGAAACGTGGGGCACCTGGGGGATTGGGGTTGGTACAGCTCAGGGCCCCGTGGCCCCACGTGGTCTCCCAGCCATGGGAGGGTTGCACCCACCGGATTGCAGGTGTCCCCAGGGGCCCAGAGTGGCTGGCTGGGTGGGCCCGTGAGTAGGCCGAAGATGTGCACTGCCATTTTGTGTTCCCAGACCAGCCTCCTCTGCCTGCGGTGACGCGGTGGCCCTGCCCGACGTTGGCCTTCCTCTGAGGCTGCTGAACAAACAGAGGTGTGTCATGCTCCTCTGTGCGGCGAAATGAGATTGTGAGTCCGCTCAGGTGGTCTCTTTGGCAGCGGTGGGGCCGCTCGTGGGTCTTCACTCTCCTCTGCGTGCCCGGCCAGAGCAGAGGGGAGTTGGGCAGCCTTCCTGGCCTCCCAGGGGCCCCAGCTCTGTCTCGGCCGGGCTCTTTCAGACTTGAATCCCTTCCCTCCTCCCACGAGTGCTCCTGCCTCTCCTGGGCCCTCATCAAGCTTCCTGTGCTCCCTGTCCTGAAACCCTGGGACCCCACTGCCCCCTGCAGTGATGGCTGGTGGCTGCTCCCTCCTCTCGTGGGGGCTCTGCCGTGGCTTCCGTGGCCTCTGGTTAACATCACCCCAGCTTGCCCCCATCTCCCATGTTGTCTGCGGAGCCCTCTTCTTTCTGCGTGCTGGCTCCTCCCACTGGGTGGTCTCATCCTTATGACTGTTCCTGCACAGTGGACTCTCCTTCTGCGTCCAGCCCTGCCTCCAGGGCTTTGGGTGTCTGCCTGCCTGTGGGAGGCCCTCTGGGCTCATCCCTGCACACGGCTCCCCTCACTTTCTGGTACGAGGAAGTCAGAGCACTGTCTGCTTGCCCTCTGGGCCAGAACTTGGGACTTGTCCTTGACTCTGTCTGGGTTCCGTGCCAGACCCTCCCTTCCTCCCTCCCCAGGTCCTGGCTCCTGCCGCTGCCTGCTCACTGCCCTGCCAGCCCCTCACGTGTCCCCAGCAGCCCGCTGTCCATCCTGAAGCAGAGGGGGGCCCCCCCAAACACAAGTCTTGTCAGGCCTGGCTGACCCCCTCAGTGCCTCACCATCGTTTTAGCAGATGGCAAATAGTGCCCTGTGCTCAGGGTCCCTTGAGCCGCTTCCCTGGGACTGGTGGACCCCGACCTGGAGTTCCAGCACCCCTCCCAAGTTCTCCAAAAGCCTCTGCAGGAGCCCTCGCCCGGGAGTTAGTGCTGGCTCCTCTGTGGAAGTTCATGTCCTGGGGCCAGAACAGGCCTGCCCGCTGGCACAGTGGCACTGGGGCATGCGGGGTGTGTCTGTAGAACTGGGCCGTGTCCGGCATCAGCTGTACCTCCCTGGGCCACGTGGGACAAAGGTAGGTGCTCTGGGGCCACCGCCCAGGGATTCGAGGGGAGTCCTGGGTGCCCACCTGGCTCTTGTCTGCTGAAGGCACAACCCCCAGCAGCCCTCTTCTTGGTTTCCAGACACGTCTTTCCAGATGATGTTTCACTGCAGTCTTACAAATGCAGCTTTAATACTTTAAAATTGTACGTGCATGTAGTAGTTTAGAGAGTGAGTTAAATGAGTTGTGCAAAGTTAATTAAGAAAAACAGTCATCCCCAGCCACCCTCCATCCCCCTCCCCAGAGTCAACAGTGTCTTCATCTTCTAGTAGATTCTTTTGATACGTATCTTTTCTTTAAATAATAGGCCCGTATTGCTTCTGGATTTTTTTAACTGTTTCGGCATTATTTTTTGACTTGCAAGGTGAGGATTCAAGTCTCTCTGCACACACAAGTACCTGCTTGCTCACGGGTACACACAAGCACATACACACCCACGCAGGCGCACACTTACCCCCCACATATGTACACACATTCATGCACACGCACAAATGTATGCACACACACGCATACATGCACACACATGCACGCACACACACAAACACGTGCATGTGCACATGCATGCATACACACATGTACACGCCCACATGCATGCACACACGCACACATTTACACACACACTGCACACGTGTACATCCACATGCCCACACACTGTGCCCACACATGTATGCGCACACACAGGCACACACTCCCTGCCTCCGCCTCCTGGTGTAGCTAGTGTTGTCACACTCTCAAGTGCGCTGCTGGGATCAGCCTAGTGATCGGAAACCGGGATGATTTTCCGTCTCTGCCCAGCCTTTTGTTTTCCGTGGAATTTGTGACTGCCTTTGTTTGCCTGATGTTTTTTGTACTTCTCAGGAGCCCAGCCTGACGCTCCCCTCTAGCTCTCTCAGTCTCACACTCCTTCACAGTAGCGGTTCAGCCTTCATCTTCTTGAAGAAGTCTGTCTAGAACGTTCTGCTGGAGCCTTGTCAGCAGGCTGCCCTCCTTGCCTGGACACGGCTTTTGCCCTGGGTGCCCTTCAGCTGCCTCTGTTGCAGGCAGTCCAGGCCTTCCTCCCTCCTCAGATGGTTCCTGGTTTTCGGCAGGAGCTCACCCTTGATACTTCCCCCGAGAAAGCATGCGTGGAGGGGCGGTCTGGGGGCCCCGGGTGTCAGAAATGGCCTCCTTGGTCCTCACACCGGTTCTCCTCCCAGCACTGGGGCTGTGGGGATCTCCGGTCACTGTGCGTTTTGATGCTGGATGTGGGACTCGGCTGCCTGTCCAGGTGCCCTGAGGTCTTACGGGGCGTGAGTTTGAATGAGCTCCGGCCTGGGATCGGTGTGAATGCTGCTCCTGCTGATTCTCTTCCCCTGGCTTTCCTGCCCTTTCTGGAATTCCCTCACTCGGATGGAGGGGCGCCTGCTCAGGGCTGGTCCCTTCCTCTGCCCGCCCCCGCCCCCGCATGGCATCGTGCTCTGGTTTCTGGAGGCCCCCGCTCGGCCTGCCCCTCCTCTGGAGCCCTTTGCTGCTGCTCCCCACGTTGGCTTCTCGGTGCGCCTCCGTGTTCTCTGAAAGCCGCTTTCTTGGCGTCCTGTTCCCTGTCCTGGGGCTGTTAATGCGGCCTTTATTATCTGGGCTCGTTCCTTTGAGGGCAGTAAAGCGAACACGGGTGCAGGAACCAGAGGCCTGGGTCTGAAACCTTCTCCACCACTTACCAGCTGGGTGGCCTTGGGCCAGTGACCTCACCTCTCTGTGCCTCAGTTTCCTCAGTAAAGATCATCGTGGCCCCAGCTTAGAGGCTTGTGGGGATGAGCTGTGTGCGGGGTAAAGCGCCTTCGTGGCTGTCGGCCGTGCCAAGCACTGGGAGCGTCAGCTGCTGTGCTGTTACGTGTCGAAGGCTCCTCTCTGACCGGACTGTAGGGCAGCGTCGCAGTCCCCCGGAGGGGTTTTGTTTTGGAAAATGCGGTCATCGTTGACAAAAATGTCATCTGTGTTCACAGGAATGGCTTAGTTATTTCAAAATGAGTTCTTGCTGTTTTCAAAAGGCTCCGTTTGAGTGTCTAGTATGGTGGATGTTGGCAGGTGCAATCCGCAGCACTCAGAGCTGTGTGGGTCCCGGACTGTTCTGAGCGGGGCAGTGGGGCCCACTGGGTCGATGGTGTGCTGCTGCCACCCTGCTCTGGGGGGCTGGATGGGGCGGGTGGGCATCTTGCTGGAGGGAACGTGGGGCCACACGCCTCCCCCAGCCCCAGGGACTTGGGCTGCGCTCAGTGGGCGCGAGGCTCACTTTACTCTTAAACCTGCCTCCCCGCTTCAGGTGTTTGTGTGGGTGGAGTCCGTGCCACCCACACTGTTTAGAACTGAGTGTGGCCTGGCTGGCGGGCTCCGTAGTGACAGCATTAGGGTATAGGCCAGTCAGAAGCCATCCGCACGGGGACCCTGCACACACGGAGGGCACGCTGGCACTGTCTGAGCAGGAGCGCTCCCCTCTGTCCTCTGGTCACTTGCTCTGAGTCCCTGGAGCTGCAGCCCACAGAAGGAGAGGTTTGGGCAGGGTGCCCAGCTCCCCAGGCCAGGGATAGCCAGTGCCACGCCCAGGATGGCGCCAGTGCCGTGACTTATGTGTTGGGTGCTTACGGTTCGCCAGCCCTAATGTGTGTCCAGTCACCTCTCACAGCCGCCTGAGACGGGGTTCCTCTTCTTCCCCCTACCTCACAGATGAAGAAACTGAGGCCCAGAGAGGCCCCATGGCTTGTGCCCAGCTGTGCAGGTTGGATTCAGCCAAGGCAGAGCCCCCAGGCCTGACCCAGCCCTACTACCATGGGGTGCGGCTCAGGATGACGGAGCTGGAGATCTGGCAGGCTGTGTGAGCGCCACGTTCTCAGCCCAGCCCGGGCCCGGCTCATGTGGTGGATGCCATCCTGCCTGCGTGTCGGGGCACAGTGGGGGCCCAGTGCTCCCAGAAGCCAGCTGGGAGGCTGGCAGGGGGGCGGTTGGTTTTAAGAGCCCGCCAGAGGGCTCGCCTTCTGGGGGTCCCTGTTGGGGGGGGCTGGGGCATGCCGTCTTCAGGTTGTGTTTCTGTGTTCCCGTAGGGACCAGTGGACCAAGAGGTCACCTTGAAGGGACTCTGTGGGGGCTGCTCTTTGGGGGCTGGTGAGAAGCCTAGGGACTGCGTGCAGTGGAGCCAGGCTCCTGGGGCTGGGGCGGGCGGGAGGCCGCTGTGTCCCCTGAACCGGAGCTTTCATCCCTGTCTCTTCTCCCTCTCCCCTGGTTTTCCTGTTTCCTCCAGCTCGGTGCGGAGGCTGCTGGCCCTGGCGTCTGTAACAAGATGTCATACGGATCCATCGCCGGTGGAGGTGGCCTGGGGAGCCGTGGCCCTTTCGGGGGACCCTCAAGACAAGGCTATCAGCCCCTAGGTAATGATGGTAGCTGGCAGTGGGGTTTGGGGGGGCGGGTGGCAGTGGGTGGGGTCCTCACTGTGTCGCGCTGATGGCTGTAACCAGTTCTGTTCTTTTGAGAAAAGTTGCCTTTGTCCTAAGATGGGGAGTGATTGCAGGGTTCAGGCGATTCAGGCCCCTGGAAAGGAGCAGGAGGAGCTTGTGCCCCGTCTGCAGGCAGACCTGGGTGTCCCAGTTCATGCCGGGCATGGGGCTGGTGCTCAGAGCAGCAGGCTGCTGGCAGGTGGAGAATGGCTGAGGGGAGGGAGGACTCACCTGCCCTTCCTAATGGTGGTGTGGGACAGGCATTCTGTGCAGAGGGGAAACGCCCCTGGCTCTTAACCTCACCCCAGGGCTGTGTAGCTGGTGCAGGGCATAGCTGGTGTCTGTTTCTAGGTATTTCAGAGTACCGAGCCCCCGCCCTTCCCCTTCACCTCGTCCACCGCTGCCCTGCCGGCTGGCCCCACTTTGGTCCTTGTGGCACCTGAATGCCACGGTTGCCCCGCTCTCCCCTCTGCCGTCAGTGTGGCCCGCAGAACTGGCCCTTCACGAGGGCAGGCCCATTAGTGAGTCAGGGCAGCCGCCATGAGGGCTGTCTGGCGCGGGAATTAGAGTCAGGGCAGCCGCCGTGAGGGCTGTCTGGCGCGGGAAGAGGACCGCACTGGGGCTCCAGCTCTCTGCCTACATCTCTCCTCCCAGGGCCGGCCTCGGCTCAGCCAGCTGGGCAAGGGTCTTCCTCTGCCTGGGGCCCTTCGCTGCTGGGCTGTGAGTCTCCTCCCTCGCAGCTCTGCTTGGCTCTTGGCTGGGGCTGATCCCCAGGGCAGCCTGTTCCGGGAGTGAGGCTGGGTGAGGGGCCCTCGCTGGCTCCTTGGCGGCCCCCAGGGTCCTGGGTTTGTCTCCTCACCAGCCCTGCAGAGAGGGAGCAGCCTGTGCTCAAGAGGGCTGCGGGTGCCTGCCTCAGCCCTGCTGGGATAGGATCGCAGCGGAGGGGACATGGGTGCAGATGGCCACTGGTGACATCACCAAGTGCCCTCTCCTCGTCTTGCCGTCACCACTTAGCGCCTCGCAGGCCAGGTCCTCGGGGATGCCCCCATCCTTCCTGCCCACTGGGAGTGCTGCCCTGGCCTGGTCTCCTCCCGCCTCTGCCTCCGTTTTCTCCTTCCTGCCTGGACCATTGATGCGGTGTCCGCTGTGTGCCGGGAAGTATTGCGGGGGTCGGGCGGGAGGCAGAGAGACAAGTGAGTCCCGTGCCCTTAGGGGGTCCGTGTTCTCACTGGGGTGGTTCTGAGATCCTCATTCTTGTGCGTTAGGGAGGAAATGACTCAGGTTCTTGGACTGCTGGCCCAGAGTGGTGGGCTCCATGAACTAAGGAGGTGAGGGAGGGCCCTCGGGGAGGGCGTGCTTAGTAGAGAGGAGAGGAGGACCCTGGAGGAGGCAGGCCCTGGATGAATGAGAGGGTCCTGGGAGATGGGCCGGTGTGGATGGAGGGTCCTTCCGTGGGCCGAGGGAGCCTGCTCGGCCTTAGGCAGGGCACCGTGTCGGCTGCTTGATCTTTTTATGTTTAAAAATCTATTCCCAGGCATGCTAGGCAGACACGAGACTTAGTCTGTGTGTGTGTGTGTGTGTGTGTGCACGTGTGAGTGTGCATGTGTGCGTGGGGTGCAGATACAGGTTTGGATCTCACAGTTTTGAGATGGCGAGCCTGACCCCCAGGGCCCTGCTCCTGCCCCGGCCCCTTTCCTCCTTGCCCTGAACTGTCGCATCCGCTGTTTCTCGGTCGTTTTCTTGTGCGTCTGAAGGTCCCTGTGAGCCGTGCGGGTCTCACTTCCCCGGCTCGGACGACGTGTGCTGCTCTTCCGCGCCGTGCTGTGAGCGCCTCCACATGTGCGCGGCTGTGGCTCCTTTGTTCCTGCCCTGCATCGCGTCGGTGGTCCTGTGAGCACCCCGCGGCGTCCGCGCCTGTTCCGCGTCTCAGGGGTGCTGAGGCTGGCTCCCGTGTTGTCTCTCACAGCCTGTGCCCGTGCCAGGGCCTCCACAGGCCATGGGGTGGCGTTCCCGGGCCGGGCCACCTGCAGCCCAGTCAGTGCGGGCCCCGTCAGAGCCCTCCTTGTCCCACATGCTTGTCAGCACCCAGGGGTGTTGGACAGCGACATCTCACGGAACTGGTGGGTGTGGCTTGTCCTCTGGTCAGAAGGGATGTTTCTCTGATGATGATTGGGATAGATCACCATTTCCTGTTTTTGGGTGTTTGGGTCTTCCTGCCAGCGAGCACTTTTTGTCTGTTTTTCCCTTGGGTTTGTCTTGTGCTTACGGGTTTGCGGAGTTCCCTCCTGTGTCCTGGAGAGGAAAGCCTCGTCAGGTGGGTTTAAACAGCCGGGTCCAGGCCGGGCCGGCTTCCCCCGGGATGTGTGCTGTGAAGCAGAAGTTCCTAGCCGGGCTGGCCTTGGGTTTATCCATTACGCCCTCAGGGCTCGCGCTTTCTGTGACAAGATGATGGTGCTGTCATCTTTCACTTCTCTCTAAAGATTGAACAATTTGTTTTTTATGTTTACTTGACCTTTGATTTTTGTTTATGGTGTGAGGTGGGATGAGGGTGGAGGGGAAGCTCTAAAGTTGTTTTTTTCTGTTTGAAGAACAAATTGTATGAACTGTTTAATCCGCCTTTCTTCTGCAGACCTGCAGTGACAGCTCTGTGATAGTTAGTTTCCATCTGGGTTCTCTGGTCAAGTTTGCTATTCCTGTGCCAAAATCCACCTTAATTTCTGTAGCTTTACTATAACTCTCAGTATTTTTTAGAACAAATTACTCCTCTTTTTTTTCTACAGAAGTGTGTTGGGTGTGTTTGAATGTTTGATGTTGAGCATAAGGTTTAGGATGACCTGTCACACCCTGGAGTTTGGGGTTGCTGGCATCCCCGTGTCCACGTGGGAGAAGTGACTTCTTTATTGTTCTGAGCCTTCCAGTCCGTGAGCAAGCACCCATGTCTGTATATTTATGAAGTTTTCTTTAACGTCTTTCAATGAAGTCTTACAACTTTCTCTGTAAAGATCTTCCGTATCTTTTCTTAAATTCATTTCAACAAAGTAAGAAATCTTTTTTCCTGCTGTCGTAAGTGGGACCATTCTGAATAGGACATTTTCCAAGTGCTTCTTGCTGGTGTGTGCACGCAATTGGCTTTTTTAGTTGAGCCACCGTGGCAGACAGTGTGGCGAGTCCTCAAGGATCTAGAACTAGAAATATATTTGACCCAGCAATCCCGTTCCTGGGTATATGTCCAAAGGGTTATAAATCATTCTGTTATGAAGACACATGCACACGTGTGTTTATTATGGCACCATTCACAATAGTAAAGACTTGGAACCCACACAAATGCCCATCAGTGATAGACTGGATAAAGAAAATGTGGCACATATACACCATGGAATACTATACAGCCATAAAAAAGGACAGGGTCATGTCCTTTGCAGGAACATGGATGAAGCTGGAAATCATTCTAGTGAACTGTCACAAGAACAGAAACCCAAACACCGCATGCTCTCGCTCATAAGTAGGAGTTGAACGATGAGAGCACATGGATACAGGGAGGGGAGCATCACACACCAGGATCTGTTGGGGGCTGGGGGGCTAGTGGAGGGATAGCAGGGGCGTGGGAGGCTAGGGGAGGGATAACATTAGGAGAAATACCTAATGTAGGTGACGGGGTGATGGATGCAGCAAACCACCTTGGCATGTGTGTACGTGTGTAACACACCTGCACGTTCTGCACATGTCCCCCAGAACTCACAGTAGAATAATAAAAAAGAAAGTCCAGACGTTTGGTTTAATTTTTAAGTGTTTTATGTTTTAATTTTCTAAATGTGGAAACTTTTAAACACACCAAAGTAGGCACAGTCACGTCACAGCCCCTGGTGTCCCTTGGCTCCCCCACAGCTGCTCGTGGCCAGTTTGGCCGCACGTGTGCCCACGCTGCCCCCACCGTGTCATTCCGGAGTAAATCCTGGATAGTAGATCATGTCGTCTGCTGATATTTCTGCGTGTCCCTGAAAGAGAAGGGCTCCTTTTATGCATGACCAGATTTCCACCGTGACAGCTCGTTTTGGTCGCTGTACCCGCTCTGCAGTGAAGTGGCCGCCAGCCTCTGGGAGTATCTACTTCAGAGATGCTGTTTAACGCGGAGCCTCCTGAGACCCCGTGCTGCGGCCGACCCGTGCTCCTCCCGAGGCCGACCCGTGCTCCTCCGTGCGTGTGTCTTTGTCTCTGGGTTCCCTCTGTCTCCTTTTATTTCCCTCCAAGTGTATTTGTTGAAGAAACCAGGCTTTTCACGTGTGGTGTAATTGATTTTTGTGTACCGGTGTGTGTTGCTAAAGCCTTTTTATTAATTGTCGTGATTTGTCTGTGGAATCTTTTGAGCTTCCTCTGGAGCTGGTGGCGTCTATGCACAATGACAGAGTTTTTGCTTCTTTTCGAATGCTCTCACCCGTGATTGGTTTCTCATCCTGGCTGGAACCCCTCCTGCAGTGTTGAGTGCAGGTGGTGGTTTATTCATGGCGAGTTTGCGGAAGAACTGGATTGTGTATTTCTCGAATGTTTCTGGGATTTTGCTGTAAAACTCTGCGGCTATAGTGTTTTCCTTTGTGGAAAGGTTTTCTGACTACCAATTAATTCCTCTAGTTATAAAACGTTACTCAAGCTTTCTGTTTCTTCTTGGGTCAGTTTTGTTAAGTCGTGTTTTTCTGGAAATTTGTTTTATCTAAATGTCCAACTTACTGAAGTGAAATTGTACACAACAGCCTTTCACTATCAGTTGTGACACTGGGACACTCTCACCTGATGATGAAGAGGCAGATGCAGAAACCTGCCTGCCCTGCTCCCGGCCCTGTCCACCTGCCTGCTCTGGTCCCGGCCCTTCCCACCCTGCCTACCTTGACCCTGGCCCTTCCCGCCCTGCCTGCCCTGGTCCTTGCTCTGTCTGCCCTGCACTGTCCACCCATCCTGCCTGTCTTGGGCTCAGCCCTGCCCGCCCTCCTTCTCATGAGCTTTGCAAGGTCAGGGTCAGGTCATACAGGTGGATGCCTCAACACGAGTGAAGCACGGGCAGGACTGCCGGGGGCCCGTGGGGGCTGCTGCTTCTCTCACAGCAACGGCGTCTGAACCACGTCCCGGTTCTCATTCCTGATCTTCTGTATTTGTGCCTTCTCTGTTTGCTTTTATAGTCAGTATCGACAGAGTCCGGCAGTTGGGCTGGTCTCTGCAGAGACGCGGCTCCTGGCTTTCTGGACCCCTTCTGTGCGTGCCGGTTTTAAACTGTGATTGATTTCTGTTCATGGTTTCATCATTTCCCTCCTTTCTTTGGGTTGATGCTGTTTTATTTTCTGACTCCCAGATTGAATGTTTACCATATTCATGTTTAATATTCAGCTTTTGTTAATTTTTAATAAAAGCATTTGAAATTAGAAATTTCCCAAGAAACTTCTTTAGTTGAATATCAGATATTTTGAAATATATAGTATTTTAAATTTCTGTTCAGTTCTAAATATCTTTAACTTTCCATTGTGATTTTTGTTTAGGAATGACTTAGAAGTTTACGCCATCATTTGCAAACATGCTTTTCTTGCCGGTTGTGTTTTTAAAGTGATTTCAAACCTGATTTCACGTCTGTCAGAAAAGCACCAGTGCTGTCTGGGTTTGCTGGAAATCGTCAAGGCTGCGGCCGGGGCTGCTTCTGGGGTGTGGGTGTGAGCTGGGCTCAGCCACTCCTTCGCTCCCCTCAGCTCTCGGCCCTCCGTGTGGGTGGGGCCTTCGAGGACCCTCTGAGCTGGGCGAGACCTTCCAGGGGGACAGTGGGGCCCAGATGAAGTCCCCGTCGGTGTAGCGTCAGCTGTGTTCGCCCAGTCCCTGCTGCGTGCTGAGGTCCCCCACCCTGACTGTGCGGCGCTGAGGTCCCCCCACCCTGACTGTGCGGCTCTGAGGTCCCCCCACCCTGACTGTGCGGCGCTGAGGTCCCCCCACCCTGACTGTGCGGCTCTGAGGTCCCCCCACCCTGACTGTGCGGCGCTGAGGTCCCCCACCCTGACTGTGCGGCGCTGAGGTCCCCCCACCCTGACTGTGCGGCGCTGAGGTCCCCCCACCCTGACTGTGCGGCGCTGAGGTCCCCCCACCCTGACTGTGCGGCACTGAGGTCCCCCCACCCTGACTGTGCGGCGCTGAGGTCCCCCCACCCTGACTGTGCGGCGCTGAGGTCCCCCCACCCTGACTGTGCGGCACTGAGGTCCCCCCACCCTGACTGTGCGGCACCTTTGGGCCCTCGATTCATCGTAACTTCCTCTGGACAAGGGCAGCAAAAAGCCAACTAGTGAGTGTCAACTTGCAAAGAACTCACATACATGGAAGAAAGCTCCCACACTCCATGCAGATGGGCCGGCTCTGTGCACCGCTGGCAGGTGTGGACGCCTCATCGGCGCACCGGCAGGGCTTAGCTGCACAGTGACCTGGGAGGGAAAGAAAGTGTCCAGACCCAGCCTGGGCAGGAGCAGGGTCCACGGGAGGGTGGGCGTGGGGCGCCGGGAGCAGCCAGCTTCCGGGCACCTGGGAGTGTTCCCTCTCTCAGCCCAGCCACGCTTCTTCCTGGACGCTGTCTTAGGAGAGAGAGACACAGGTGGAAGTGTTCACCGTGTGTGGTTTGTGCACGTGCTGACACAGACATACTGCAAGTACCTGGCTGTGAGGGAATGCGGTGCGGGCGTGGAAATCACGCTGTCAGGACCCGAGTGACCTGCGTGCGTGCTGCTGCTTGTGGGAACGTGGCACATGGAAGAAGGGAAGCCACACACAGCGTTTGACTGTATAAGACACCCTCCCACCCCCAGTGCTAACAATGATTATCCTGGATGTTGTGGTCTTTATTTTTTTATTTATAACTGTCTGCATTTACATGTTTTCTGTAATTTGTGTATATTATTCAAAAGCAAACAGTGCATGTCCCAGGCCTGTCCCCACCAGGTTCTAGGTTCAGGTGGCTCAGGTGGGTGGACCGTACTGGCCCCTCAAGGGCCATGGGGAACAGTGTGGAATAACGTGGTGCAGTGGGCAGGACCTGGTTGGGCTGAGCGGATGCAACGTGGCACGGTGGTGGTGTATTCTTGAGTGACAGCGGGGTCCGTGGTCTCTCTGGGGGCCTGGGGAGGGGCTGGGAAGGGGCCTGTGGGACCCCATTTCTGGGCAGAGGCTGAGCTCAGTCACTGAGTGGATCCCTGGATCCTCTCACAGGCCATTGTTCAGGGTTTCTGGCCTGGAGAGCATGTCTCTGCAGAGAGTGTGGTGCGGGTGCCTGGGGAGAGGGGCCTGCTGGGAGCGGGAGAGGGGCCTGCTGGAGGCTCAGGTCATCAAACGCTGAGAGACGTCTGTGAGTAGCGGCCCCTCCGGGCCTGGCCAGGGCCTCTGTCGGGTGCCTGGTTTACCCGGGGCACGCACTGTCTCTCTCCAGGCGGCAGCAGTTCCCTGAGAGTTTTCACATCTCTGGAACCAGGATGTGCCTTAGTTCTGGGGAAAACCAGGCGGCGCCCCCAGAGAGTTGTCTTCTGACTCTGATCCGATCTGGGCTGCAGTTCTCTGCCCTGCAGAAACCTCCACCCTGAAATGAGCCGGGCAGCTGCCTTCCCGTCCTTCCGCGGGCTTCTCCCTTCCCCATCAGGCCCAGAGCTGGAGGGTGAGTGAGCCACAGTCCAGGACAGTGAGCTGGGCACTGAAGGCCCTTCCCTGAGTCTGTGTGGCCACAGGCCTGTCTCTGCCTGTGTGGTTCGGGCAGCGCTGTCGGGGGCAGAAGGATGGACCAGGGGCCTTTGGGACACCTCCCACCCCTGGGGAGTTCCGTGAGAACCTATGGGGCAGTGCTTCCCTCCCTGTCACGCTGGGCGGCAGGGCCCCCTAGAGGGACATGGAGTGGGAGCTGACCAGGGCGGCCTCCAGGGTCACTTCTGTAGGGTTGCAGGAAGGGCCTTTACGAGAGCTGCTGCCTCAGGCGCGTGGCTCCGGAGTGCAGCCGTGGGGCCCACTGTGCGGACCTGGCCCTGGAGGCTGCGGGTGTGGTGGGAGAGCACTTCCCGGCCTGGGGGCTGCGGGCGTGGTGGGAGAGTGCTTTCAAACCAGCAGCGTCCTGAGACCTACCAGGATGGTCCCGGGAGAACAGGCTGCAGCAGGCGTGTGGGCTCCAGGTTTGGAGGTGTCAGCCTGGTGCTCACTGTGTCTTTGACTCTGGGGTGCCCTGGATGGAAAGGCACATCTTGCTTCCTGAGATGAGAAGATGCTTTTATAAGGTGCATCTGAAGATCAATGAATTTCAGTGAAATGAGTCCAGAAATGTTTTGTCAACAAATAGAAATAATAATGAGAGAAAATTACAATGTGTTCTGTGGGGGACCCAAACCCGGGTTGGGGCTGGGAGCCAGGCGAGGTGGAGCTCATGTCTCGGCCTCTGCACAGCCGGGTGGGGACAAGCAGCCTGGCTTTGCTTTTCATCTCGCATATGCTATGGAATGGCAGATTCTTTTGTTTTGGTTTGGTTTTTTTGAGACAGAGTCTTGCTCTGTCGCCCAGGCCGAAGTGCAGTGGCCTGATCTCGGCTCACTGAAACCTCCGCCTCCCAGGTTCAAGCAGTTTTCCACCTCAGCCTCCCAAGTAGCTCGGACTATAGGGGCCCGCCACAACGCCTGGCTAATTTTTTAACATTTTAGTAGAGACAGGGTTTCACCATCTTGGCCAGGCTGGTCTTGAACTCCTGACCTCATGATTCACTTGCCTCAGTCTCCCAAAGTGCTGGCATTACAGGCCTGAGCCACTGCGCCCGGCCGGAATGGCACTTGTATAAAATGCGGTAGAATGACTGCGAGCGTGGGAGGTGCAGCGGTTTTGAATTGCCGTAAACAATGCTGGAGCCTACCATTTTCTACTTTGTGGCTGACTGGGAATGGCTGTCCAGGGTTTAATCTGTGGCTACCCCTGCAGGCCCTGGCCCAGGGGTTGCATTCTAGTTGGCAGTCACCTTTCAGAACTGGCTGAGACAAAAATCTGGAACACCTAAAGTTCTGAACTCCTTGCTGGCATTTAGCAGAGGATACAGCAGGCAGGGAGGGCTTCCCGGAGGAGGAGTCCTGAGTAGAGCATCTCAGGTCCTGGGTGCCTGCTGTGTGTTGGGGGGCCTGGCGCTGCCAGGAGTGCCCTGAGCTGAGTAATCGTGACTGTCCCTTGCTGTCCATAGAGTGCGCTAGATGTTGGACCGAATATGGAATCCGTCATTTCCCCTGCCCGTCGCCAGAGAGCAAGCTGCAGAACCCCTGCTCGGGGAAGGACAGGGAAGGAGATCTGGGGCCGGCAGGCATACCCGTTGTCCTGAGGGCCAGGAAGCAAGGTACTTCACTCAGATGCTGGGTCTCGGGGGTCCTGGGGAGGCGGCTTTAGAGATGCAGGTGCTGAGGAGGGTGGGGTCAGCAGGTGGGAGCTGCAGGGAGGAGGCTGGGGCTGGGGGCTGGGGACCTGCATCCGCTGTCCCCCATCAGGCCTCCCCTTGAGGAGGGCCGAGGGTGCAGCCGGCCCAGACAGGCCGCAGGATGGAAGCCGCATGGCGGCCAGAGCTGGCCCGCCCTGTAGGCTCAGGACCGAACAGGGGTGCTCCTGCCGGGGGCTCTGGACCTGCCACGTGGCCCCTCACCCCCAAGCCCAACCGTCCTTGTGCAGTGGGCTGGGGAGGGGTGGCAGGGTGCTTGGGGTGTTTGGGGAGGAACAGGTGCAGTGGCCTCTGTGGGTGTCTTGGTGGGCGTGCCTCCTGATGAAGAGGCCCCCTCCGGGTGCTTCTGGGATGCCAGGCCCCGGGGAGATGCCTGCTCTTGAGTGCTCCTCCCATGGGGCTCAGACCTGTACCAGGGAGCCTGTGGTGTCGGGCACTGTCCCTGCCTCCAGGAAGCTGGTCCTGCTAATGACAACGCTCGCATGTGAGCAAAGACACAGAGACCCTGCCACTGTTGCTAGCGTGGCGCTGTTCCCCCGTGGGGTGGAGGGCTGTGGAGGTATGGGATGGCAGGGGGGTGAGGCTGCTGACCAGGCCACCGCATCCCGACCGGCCTCGGCCCAAGTTGGGGAGGGGAAGCCGAGGCTGGCGCTCAGGGGGCTCTCAGTCGTGCTGTGGGCAGGCAGGAGCCTTCTGGCACGCCAGCCGGCAAGGCCGTCCACAGGTGGGGGCCGACCGCAGGAGCAGCACAGCCCAGGGCCGACGGCAGGAGACCCTGGAGAGGGCCCGAGGCTGCAACCTGGCTTGCCTGGCTCCCGCACCCCTATGGTGGCTACAGGGGCAGGCAGGGCTAGGGGTGTGTTGTCTTGGAGACGGGGCACTGTGACCCAGAAGCTACGTGCTTGCCGACGGCACCCAGTGAGGCCGTGTCAGCGTTAGGGGATCTTGAGCCCAGGTGTCTGGACACCCAGCAGGGAAGGGTGGTGGCCAGGACCGCCCCGAAGCAGAAACCAAAGATGAGGTGCCCTAGGGAGCTGCTGCCACAGCCCCCGTGGGCCCAGGGCCTTAAACATCCGCCTTGTGGTGTCTTTCCAGGGCCTGGGGTTGCCCCCGAAGACAGCCGGATGCCGGAGCCCACCTCATCACCTGCCACCGGCCCAAGGAGGGACCCGGCAGCTGGGCCCCGTGGCCGGATGGGGGGGCCCGGCGCTACCCGGGCCAAGAAGAGGAAGCCCAACTTCTGCCCGCAGGAGACCGAGGTGCTGGTGTCCAAGGTGAGCAAGCACCACCAGCTGCTGTTCGGCACGGGGCTGCTGAGGGCCGAGCCCACGCGCAGGTACCGCGTGTGGAGCCGCATCCTGCAGGCCGTGAACGCGCTGGGCTACTGCCGCCGCGACGTGGTGGACCTGAAGCACAAGTGGCGGGACCTGCGCGCCGCGGTGCGGCGCAAGCTGGGCGACCTCCGGAAGGCGGCCCACAGCCCCGGCCCGGGCTCCGGCAAGCCCCAGGCGCTGGCCCTCACGCCCGTGGAGCAGGTGGTGGCCAAGACCTTCTCCTGCCAGGCCCTGGCCTCTGAGGGCTTCAGGCTGGAGCCGCGCAGAGGTGAGTGCCGCTCTGTCCAGCGGGAGGGTGGGGCCCGTGTGGCCCTGCTTCTCCCTGCACGGGGCCTTCCTCTCCCGCTCTCCTCCTCCACCTCCACCCTCCACTTCCCGCCGCCACCAGTCTCATCTGGAATGTTCTTGGTCATTCGTCCTCTGCCCTGGGCGCTCTTTCCTCGTCCACCCACCTGCCCGTCGTGCGTTCGGTCAGCATGCATTCCGGACGCAGGGAGCAGCAGTCATCGTGTCTCAGTTTGTCCCCCTGCTCGGCGCCGGACTTGGGCTCTTGCTCACCCCTCCTAGAGCAGAGTGGGACGGAGCGGGCAGACAGGAGCGATGGAGCTCCCTGCTCACCGTCACCCAGTCAGACCCTGGACCGTGGCCATAGTGAGAAGGGCATGGGCTGTTGCTGCCTGGGGTAGACGCACGCCGAGAATCTGAGAATCCGGTGCTTCTAGCCGTGCCAACGCTGACCACGGCCACGCGTGCTGCTGTGCCTCCTGCTGAGTCCTGCGCTACTCATGAAAGAAAAAGCTGCTGTGACTTACTAAACTGGTTTTCTGACCTGAGGTTCGGTGCTGTGGTTTGAAACCTGCTGCTCAGTTACTGTTTTCAACACCCAGAAGAGGCCACCCGTGGTGTCAGGGTGGGCAGGTTGAGACCCGGGAGGCAGCGTCTGCTCAGAGCTGCAGCAGGCCTTCTGCAGACCCCGAGGCCGCGGCTCTGGCAGAGACCCTTTTCCTAGGGAGAGCCCTGCTCCGTCGGTGCCTGGTGGCTCAGGAAGGTCCGCAGAGGTCAGTGCGGGCCCAGCGTGTGAGCTCCTGGTGTGGTAAGGCCAGACAGATGCCGGGCAGGTGTGCCGGGCAGGTGTGCCGGGTGCACTGAGGCCTCTGGACTGCTGCATGGGGCTGTGCTGCCAGAGCCGGAAGAGGAGGGCGGCAGCCTGGTTCCCATGCTGGATTCCCGCTGTGGGTCGTGAGGTCTCCATCCTGCTGTGGAAGCTGCCTGGATAGGTGACGCCCTGGGACGGGATGGGTCCCTAGAGCACGGGGCTGCAGCCTCTCGCTCGGCCCCAGGATGAGGTCGCAGGCAGTGGCAGTCCTGGCACCCAGCCAGCTGGCCTTGCTGCCGGAGCATGCTCCAGTTTGACTGTTTGAGCTTCAGGGGGTCTTTGCGCGACAGCACTTCCTCTTGGCACAGTTGGGGGCCGTGGGGCAGCCCCTTTCTGGCCGTCAGTGGGATCGCCAGCCCCAAGGCCCCTTCTTGCTCTGTGTGAGGACAGGTGCTCTGCTCTCTGCCTCAGGCCTCAGCCGCACCCCTGAGGTCAGACCGTATTTGTAGGCGCTGGCAGGGACCGGGTCTGGGGCAGCACAGAGCACAGCGGTCACGGGCTGAGGGGCGCTTGCCTCTTCTTCTAAGTGACGAAGCCCTCCTGCTCTCACAGGGTTTGGGGGTTTCCTGGTGCCATCAGGGCCGGGCACTGAGCGAGCCTGTGGCTGTGCGGAGCACCGGGTAATTAATGGGATGATTAGGAAGCGGCGAAGTGAGAGGCACAGCTGTGGCCCTCCACAGAAGGCCTGGGCCGCAGGATGGCTCCGTGCAGCCTGCTGGACAGCAAGTGACACTGTTGGGGTGACCTCGCTGTGTGGACGAGTAGGAGGTGGCCCAGGGGAGGTGGCGGGGTGGCTTCACATCCTCTTCTACCTCTTGTGTCCCAGCCTGTGTCCAGCGCCTCTGGCCCCAGCCTTCTGTCCCAGATGCGCCCCAGGAGTGCGGTCTGCTTGGGGTTGGAGGGTGGGCTCCGGCCCCCAGGGACACTGTGGTGGCCAGCCTGCTTCCCCACCAGGGCTCTCCCGGGACATGCCCGCAGCCCCGAGCAGCCTCCCCGCCACTGCCTGTGTCTTACTCCTCTCCATGCTCTCAAGGACAAGCCTTCATTTCCTGTGAACAGGAGTCCCTTTGCCCTTGCCTTGGCAGGAGATGTGGGCCTGGATTGTTACTGCACAGAAGACCGCCCGGCCAAGCCTTGGGGGGCTGGTGCAGGGAGGCTGCGGAGGGGGTGCTTGAGGACACTCTCAGTGTCCTTGTCCTCTGCCAGTCCCCGCTGTGCCACTCGAACCCCGTCCATGTCGGAGTGTGCACCTGAGAGGGTGGAGCCGCGTGCAGACACGTGGGCGGCGCGGGGCCGGGGCGGAGCTGGGGGGGTGTTTTGTGAGTACCTTCTCTGACTCAGGCAGGCTCTTAAGTTTGGCCTTGAGGGACGTTTCTCGAATTGCTTACCTCGTCTTTGAGTTTGAAATAGGGTCCCCAAAGTATATTAAGAACTTAAAAAGCCAGCACGTGCTAACCCTTCTCTGACAGCAGCCCCATGCTGGGTTGCGGCGTCTCCTCTGGGCACGTGGTGTCGTCCGTGGAGGGTGAGGTCCGAGCAGCCTGCAGGCCCTGCCTGTGTGTGAGCTGGGTCATGCAGCCCTGGGGGCTCTGAGGCAAAGGGCTAGAGAGGTCCTTTGAGATCCAGGCACAAACCGGCCCAGCCCTGCCTTTCCCAGCTCTGGGGCCTTTGGTGAATGCCACAACCTGATTTTATTTCTTTATTGAGATAATAGTCAGATGTCAAAGTTTGTTATTTCACCCTTTTAAAGTCTATGACCTGGTGATGTTAGCGCCCAGCCCAGCCTCAGCCCCAGCCCTTAGCTTCACCCTGTAGCCTTACCCCAACCCCACTCCTGGCCTTACCCCACCCAGCCTCATACCCAACCCTACGCTCAACTCCCTGTCCCACCACCAGCCCAGCCCAGCCTCAGTCCCAGCCCCATCCCTACCCCTACCCCCAGCCCCAGCCCAGCCCCAACCCAGCCCCAACCCTACGTCTGACCCTACCCCCAGCCCCAGCCCAGCCCAGTCCAGCCCAGCCCAGTTAAGCCCAACCCATCCCTGTCTAGTCCAGCCTAGCCCAGCCCAGCCTAGCCCAGCCCAGCCCAGTCTAGCCCAGCCCAGTCTAGCCCAGCCCAGCCCTAGTCTAGCCCCAGCCCAGTCCCAGGCCCAGCCCCAGTGCAGCCCCAGCTCAGCCCTCATCCCCACCCTTCCCCATGGCTTGCTTTGCCCTCATAGATCAGATGTCTCTGTCTCAGTCACGGAGCCAGGCAGCATATACTCTTCCGCCTTCCTCAGCCCGGTGTGTGCCGTGCGAGTGGGGAGGCGGTGGGCATGCCTTTGGACGTACCACAGTCTGTTTCCGCGTATCAGTGGATGCTTTTGTGTCCTGCAGCTTTTGGCTGTTAGGAGCAAGGGGGCTGTGAGCATTTCTGTAGGATCTCTGTGTGGACAAATGTTTCCATTTTGTCGTTGGGGGATTCTTAACTACAAGTTGAATTGCTGGCCATCGGGCTGGTGTGGCTTTTAAAGAGATGCCCGAGCTGTTTTCTAAGGTAGCTGTGCTGCGTCAAGTCCCCCAGCAGCAGGGGGAGCTGAGCTTGCTGTGCTGCGTCAAGTCCCCCAGCAGCAGAGGAGAACTGAGCTTGCTGTGCTGCGTTAAGTCCCCCAGCAGCAGGGGAGCTGAGCTTGCTGTGCTGTGTTAAGTCCCCCAGCAGCAGGGGAGAATTGAGCTTGCTGTGCTGTGTTAAGTCCCCCAGCAGCAGGGGAGCTGAGTTTGCTGTGCTGCGTTAAGTCCCCCAGCAGCAGGGGAGAACTGAGCTTGCTGTGCTGTGTTAAGTCCCCCAGCAGCAGGGGAGAACTGAGCTTGCTGTGCTGCGTTAAGTCCCCCAGTAGCAGGGGGAGCTGAGCTTGCTGTGCTGTGTTAAGTCCCCCAGCAGCAGGGGAGAACTGAGCTTGCTGTGCTGTGTTAAGTCCCCCAGCAGCAGGGGGAGCTGAGCTTGCTGTGCTGTGTTAAGTCCCCCAGCAGCAGGGGAGAACTGAGCTTGCTGTGCTGCGTTAAGTCCCCCAGTAGCAGGGGGAGCTGAGCTTGCTATGCTGTGTTAAGTCCCCCAGCAGCAGGGGAGAACTGAGCTTGCTGTGCTGTGTTAAGTCCCCCAGCAGCAGGGGAGAACTGAGCTTGCTGTGCTGCGTCAAGTCCCCCAGCAGCAGGGGGAGCTGAGCTTGCTGTGCTGCGTCAAGTCCCCCAGCAGCAGAGGAGAACTGAGCTTGCTGTGCTGCGTTAAGTCCCCCAGCAGCAGGGGAGCTGAGCTTGCTGTGCTGTGTTAAGTCCCCCAGCAGCAGGGGAGAACTGAGCTTGCTGTGCTGCGTCAAGTCCCCCAGCAGCAGGGGAGAACTGAGCTTGCTGTGCTGCGTCAAGTCCCCCAGCAGCAGGGGAGAACTGAGCTTGCTGTGCTGTGTTAAGTCCCCCAGTAGCAGGGGAGAACTGAGCTTGCTGTGCTGTGTTAAGTCCCCCAGCAGCAGGGGAGAACTGAGCTTGTTGTGCTGTGTTAAGTCCCCCAGCAGCAGGGGGAGCTGAGCTTGCTGGGTGCCCTTGCCAGCCCTGGAGGTCGCCATTTTCAGTGTAGCCACTCTGGGTGGTGCTGTGGTTTGGACGTTTGTCCCATCCAAACATCCTGTTGAAATTGGATCCAGTGTTGGAGGTGGGGCCTACTGGGAGGTGTGTGTGAGTCACGGGGGCAGGGGCAGATGCCTCATGAATAGGTGAATGCCCTCCCTTATGGGTAAGTGAGTTGTCCTGGCCAGTTCTCATCAGAGCTGGTGGGTGGACGGAGTCCAGCGCCTCCCTGCTGCTTGCTTCCATTCTTGCTGTGACTTCTGCGCACTCAGCTCCCTACACTCTCCACCGGGAGTGGAACTAGCCAGAGGCCCTCACCCAGTGCCCAATCTTGAACTTGTCCAGCTGTCAGAATTGTGAGCCCCATAGATCCTTTTCCTTTGGAACTTTCCCAGCCTCAGGGATTCCTTTAGAGCAACACACAGTGGCTGAGGACAGGTGGTGTGCAGCGCGATGACACTGCTCAGAGATATTTCATCTGTGGTGTGCAGTCGGGTGCTGGTGGTGAGAGTTTT